CACCCTGTATATGTAATGTCTATGACAGGGGGGGGGGGGTGAATAGGTTTTCGGATCGTCGGATTTCACAGAAAAAATTGTTTGAATTTCGGATCTGGCGAATATTTTACACGGATTTGCGGATCTTATTAATACAGCGGATTGCGGATTTATCTAATATTTTGGCTCGGATTGTGGATTTAGCTTGCAATTTAGTTCGGATCCTGGATTGTGACTTCATAGTGGAGCTTTTAGCGGATTCAAATTGAGACAAGACCATTGTCGGATCGCGGATTTTGCTTCAAATTTGGGCGGATCGGCGGATTTGTATACCCCTATTCAGCCCCCCCCCCCCCCATGACACTATGTACGAAGTAGATCGTTTAATTGAGTCTTAAATTGAGATAGAGAACTGATGTCAGTTGTAACGGAGCTCATGTCAAAATTGTTGAAGTCCTTCGAAGCGTAGTATTAAGTCGGTCTAAGTTTACCCCAGTAATTCGTGGATGTTACCGCACATTAATAAATCAAGGCGGACAAAACTGTAGGGTTAAAGGTTGACTGACAATTTGTGTAATAGTAAAGTCTTCGTTTCATAAATTTACATTTATATAATTAATCTTTAATAAGTACAACAAAGCGTATCCGATTGTTAATTAATAACACAGCACCAATTTCTCTCGGTCACATATAACCTTCCTTTACCAGAGATGAATTTCAATTAGTATTAAACCATAGTCTTTCGAGACATGGTCTGGAAACTCAGTAAACTTCAAAGCGGCTATAATGAGCTGGAAGTTTATGTTGTGCCGTACCTCACACCGTGCACATCCTTTGTTTTAGGTTTATTAATATTTAAATAGCATGGTTGAATGACTGAACTGAAACGTTGCTATTGGATGATTCGTTCATTATACTGAAATACAATGTATTCATTGACCGTGCACCGTGCACAAAACTGCATAAACGCGAACAAAAAGATAGAACAAAGACTTCAGCGGAGTTTCCAAACCATGTTCTGAAAGATTATGATTAAACTCTAGATCGTCGTTTTCAAGCCCCATAACCACTAGCCCGCGTGCAGGCCTAAGGGAAGAACATAACCACAGAACCAGACAACCAATATACCAGACTGCATGATGATGAAAATGATAGGGCATGAAATCATCAGGCATTTATATATTCATCTTGATATTTTATTGAGAATTCATTGATTTGAATGAGCTGAAATATTTATTTATTTATTTAAATCAATTTATTGGACCATGTCCAAGCGGTAGAGTGCGAACGGGACTCAAAGTCCCATGCGAGGCACTCCCCGTTACAAACTGTAAAGATTTCTTAAATATTTACATTAATAATAGCTATGAAAAAACATATGCCAATTACTTGAGCACCAACCAATTCTTAAAACCGCACAACAGTTTACACACAAACGATCGGTTGGCCGATTTCAGGTATTGCCGGATGTTACAGTAAAATGACAAAAGTTATATGAGTTGACAACACAGAGTAGACGGATATACAGAACTACAACTAGTGTACCCACCTTTTTGTGCGCGTGCTCGGCAAGTTACTAGATGCATGCATGCATCTCATTGGATGGCGGTTCGCTTTAACCGCTCGCGGAACTTGCCGAGAACGCGCAGTTGATAATTTTTTTACCCGGTCGCCTAAAAAAATGTGGGTACATGAAAACGTAAGTTTCCACAGCGCTTACGACGGCCAGTTACAGCTCTGCATGTATCCACTCTGTGGTTGACAATGTCGTCAGATGACATTGACAGCCAGGGGCGTAGGAAGCGGGGGGCACGGGGGGCACGTGCCCCCCCAAATTTTTTTAAAGGACTAAAAGTGCCCTTTTTTGTGATAAAAAGTGCCCTTTTTGTGTTGAAAAGTGCCCTTTTTTGTGAGGAAAAGTGCCCCTTTTGTAGAAGCTAATGTCACTGTAAATACTAAATTAAAACAATAGGTGCCGTTTTTGTGTGGAAATTTACAAATTTTTTTTAAAAATTAGGTCACAAACATAAATTTCGGTATGATACGACGGAAAATTTTCCTCAGGAGAAATTTCCCCCCCCCCCCCCTCCCCGTCGACAACATTTCCGGGAAAAATTTTTTAGGTGCCCTTTCCGATAGTAATGTGCCCCTACAAGCCGGTGCCCCCCCAAACTCCAGGTGCTTCCTACGCCCCTGTTGACAGCGTATTTAGTATCATTTAAATAAAACTGAATCCAGCCTGAGCCAAATCGGCCCGACCAATCGCTATGCGCAAACGCACCTTAAAAAATTTTTTGGATTTAGTATTAAATGAGAATCCAACTACTTTAAATTCTTTCACAATTAAGAATGTGAAAGAACATAGAGAGTGAAACACAAGCAATACGCATATGCTTTGTTCGAACTAATTCCTATGACATGAACAAGTTCGATGTAATGACCAGGTACAAGTCATATCTACATCAAAAATAGTAGTAATTAAATGTAAGTACGTTCTTGACAAAAACGATTTAAACATAATTAAACTACGAAGGTCTGCAGGCGAGGCTGCTTTACACACACAGTTCCAAAGAGGGACGATACGATTAAAGAAGGACGACTGAAAAGTACTTGTTTTACACGACGGAACTTTAAGCATAAGAGAAGGATTTTCACAATTACGAGTACGACAATGGCTAACAAATGACACATAATCAGAAACATTTAAGTCGTAATATCCATGCAATAACTTGAAGAAAAACGTTAAATCCTTTATCTCTCTATCGTATGTTAACGGTAGTAGGTTGAGGGCCAGCAATCGATCTTTGTATGTAATGTCACCTTTCTTCACTTGGAGGATCCATCTCGTGGCTCGTCTTTGTAGTTTTTCCAAGCTAATTTTGTTAAGCGACTGATACGGAGACCAGATCTCTGTGGCATAAGATAGTTGTGATTTCACAAGTGACAGGTATAAAGTTCTTCGAGCATCGCAATTCGTTAACATGGGACAAGTTCTCCGTAATAAACCCAGCGTTGAATTTGCCTTCGTAACAAGTTTTGTAATGTGCCTATTCCAGGAGAGATTACTGGTAACGGAGATCCCTAGATCAACTTCGCTATCTACGCGTATTAATTCTGCGGACCCAAGATGGTAATTTAACACAATCGGTTGTTTACGTCGGGATATTGTCAGGGCTTTGCACTTAGACGTGTTGAAGTTAATGTTGGATTCCTTACTCCAATCGTCAACGTATGACAAAGCTCCTTGTA